AAAGAGAGAGAGAGAGAGAGAGAGAGGGGCAAAGTGAGAAATCATCTCCTGAGGGGATGGCCATGCCATAATCCCTTCTGCATTCTCCTCTTGGGATTTTGGGGATGCACGCACAAGCACCTGACATATTTTTGAAGGCACTGGCTCTGGAACTCGAACCGTGCAGGTGGTCACGTAGGATCCAGCACCTTAACCACCATGTCACCTGGCTTGTCCGGCTCTCCAAACTTTTAAGCTTGGTCATGGGGATACCCAAGTGCAGGTTTCCTCTCCTGGCCTTAGCTTTGGTTTCTGTAGTTCTGTCCTGGTTCTGTGAGGGGTGGGGCGGGTGGGCATCTGGCCATGAGAAGCTCATGGAGGACCCTGAGTTGGTGGGCTCGGTTCAGTGTTCCTGTCTGTGCTTCCTTGCAGGCTCCACCAGTTCCTCCTTGTCCGATCACTGGCTCATGAGGCTCGGGAGCACGAGGGGCAGCACGAGGGGCAGTCTATTGTCCTGGAGCTCTGCCCCCTGCCCCTCCCTGCCCCAGGGGCCTGACCCTCCCATCCTCACGAACAGCCTCTGTCATCCAGAAAACGGTATGTTGGCCACCTTTGCTGATGTTATTTTCATTTTCTTAATGACCACGGTTTCTCTTCAATTGCCCGAGGGTGCATGCATGCACCAGGCGGAGAGAAAGCACCTCTCACTGCGTATGGTCACACCACAGCCCTTTCTCCTCCATTTCTCCGTCCCATTAGGATTTGGGAAACACACATTGGCCCCGTATATTTTTCAAGCCGTAGGCCCGGGTTCAAGCCGCAGTTGGCCACGTGGTACCCAGCTCCCACTGCATTGTGTTTAGCCACTGAAACACAGGGCAGGCCCCCCGTCTCTTCTTTATAAACGTGTTGACACCTCTGTCTTCAGTGTAAAGTGTCAGTCATTACAGAGGTTGATTAATCTCTCAGGGTCTTCTACGACCTGCCCTCAGCCGCAGGTCCATTATCTGTTCCTTGGCGCTTACTGAGTCACGGAGAAGGCAAACCACACGTAGCAAACCAGTGTAGCCATGTGACTCCAGCAGAGGTCAGGGCAAAGAGGTGAATAACCAGGGCGGAGGATAACGGGGCTGGGGGTGGGGGAGAGAGGACGTGGAGGTCCCTGCCTGACAGCATGGCTGACATCTGAGCAGAGACCTGAGCAAGTGAGTCAGAGACTCCTGTAGAAGTCTGGGGAGCGTGTCGGGACCAGCAGTTGGTGTAATGGCTACGTCGCTGGATTCCCATGTAGCCGACCATGGTTCAAGTCCCTGACCCAGTGGCTTAAACTCACGCCGGGCGCGTGTGCGTGCATGCCCAAGATCCCGAGAGGAGAATGGAGGAGAAGGGATTGTGGTGTAGCCATTCCCCTGGGGGGTGATTTCTCGCTTTCTGTCTCTCTGTTTCTCTCTGTCTTTCTGGTGAACATGCGTGCCCTATGGCAAAAAAAAAAAACAAAACCAAAAAACAACAAAAAACCCTCTTAAAAAAAAAAAAAGAATGTCTAGGGAGTGTGTCCCAGGCAGAGACACTATCCGGGCCAAAGGCTGCGAGTGAGAAGCCTGTGTGAGGGTGGAAGAAACCAGAGATGTGGCCGGAGCCAAGTGATCCAGGAGCCTAGGAGAGGAGGTCAACAGGGGCCGTGTTAGGTTGTGCCTTTCGGAGCATGGCGTGAAGCCTGGACTTTATTCTAGGTGCAGTGGGTAGCTACTGGGGAACTTTAAGCAGGGAAGTAACCAGTTTGATCTATAGTTTTAGAAAGCCTACTTTGGTGTCTGGGTGGAGAATCTGACACAGTGGGAAAAAGTGGCAGTAAGGCCAGTCAGGGCCCAAGCCCCACCACATGGAGGATCCTGGGACCTCCACAATGCCAGCTGTGCATCACGGGCTATGATCCAGGCAGGCTGAGGCTGTGGGTGGATTGTGGCATGGGGACTGTGGGAGCGTGTGTCTTTTTCTCTCTTTTATAGATAACTGAACTTTTTATTCTTTTTTTATTTTTTTTTTAAAGGAGGCTAATGATGCTATTGTGTCATATCTGGGTGAGAGAGAGTGGTGGCTTGGACTAGAGCGTTAGGTAAAAGGTGGTCAAACACGGATGTATTGGGTCATCAGAAAAGTTGTAATGCCTTTTTGCATAGAAAAACACATCATGACTTTTCTGACAACCCAATATTTTGAAGCCAGAGCTAACAGGGGATGCCGATGTTGGATGTGGGGTGTGACGGACAGGGCATAATCAAGGACAGCTCTTGGTTGAGGGTCTGAATACCACGGCAAACAGCTGTGCAGGTCACGAGGCAGGAAGGAGTTGGGGAGGAGCTCGGTCAGATTTGGAGTGAGGTCCAAAGTTCTTGACATGGCAGTTTTGAGAGTCCGTAAGACTTTGCCATCGGGACCAGCAGTTAGCGTAATGGCTATGTCACTGGACTCCCATGTAGTCGACCGCGGTTCGTGTCCCGGACCTGGTGACTTGAAATTCACACTGGGCGCGCGTGCGCGTGTGCCCAAGATCCCGAGAGGAGAATGGAGAAGGGATTGCAGTGTGGCTATCCCCCCCCCGGGGGGGGTTTCTCGCTTTCTGTCTCTCTGTCTCCCTCTGTCTGGCAAGCGCATGCGCCCTGTAGCAAAAACCTCTCCCCCCACCCCCCCAAAAAAATAAAAAAGACTTTGCCATCAACATGACGACCAGGGAATGGAGGTTAAATATCTGGGCCATCAGCCCATGGACGGAATTGAAAGCATGGGCTGGTTGAGCTTCCAGGGAGGTTGTAAAGATGGAAGAGAGCGAAGACCTTAGACCAAACTCGGGAGCTCTCCAACATGTCCGCGGTGAGCAAAGGTGGACTTTGGAAACTGAGGAGGAGCAGCAGGATGGGAGGACACCAGGCAGGTGAGGTCTACGGGTGTACAGGGGACCATCCAGAGGGAAGGGGCCATGGTGCCAAGTCCTTCGAGAGGCTCAGGAAAGTGAGGGCAGGTAGTGACCCACAGTCTGGAAGGCTGCTCGTGACTTGCCACAAGCTTCTGCCATGGGTTGGAGAGGATAGAAGCCCAGCTGCAGCAGGTGGCAAAGAGACAGGCTGAGGAAGGGACAGAGCGAGTGTGTGTACATGCCATCAAACCCTGAGACTGCGGGGTCAGGAGTGGTAGAGGAAGACGGGCTGACAGCAGCTTTGGTTTGAATTTCTTTGCAAAATAGAAAGCAGTAAAACACATTAGCATTCAGCTGATGTAGCCGAGAGGGAGAAATTGATGATGGTGCGGGGGCTGACGGGACACCTGCAGAAACAACGTCGTTGAGAACCACATGTGCATGTGTGTGTGTGTGCATGCATGTGTGTGGATTCCAGCTTTTGTGCTCCTTCAGCCAGAAAGTGGTAAATGTATTCACTAGTTTCTTCACTTCCGGTTAGCTCCTAATGTAAGGTTTTACGTTTATCTATAATATTTATTTCATGAGTGAGAGAGAGACAGCAGGGTGGGGGGGAGAGAAGGTATTCCCATCAGGGTCCTTATGATGTGACCCTGGGCTCGTGGGCATATGTTTAGAGGAATCTCCAGATGTGGATCCGGAACCTTCCCATGCGGGTCAACCTCACAGAGCATCTTGTTTTTATGGCTGTACCACTGCCTGGCCCTCCTAATTTAGTTTTTAAAATAAGTCTTCATAGAAACATTCTATGTCTAGAAATATTGTATATAACACATTCGTATATTTGTGATTGTGTTCTTACCATTTCTTTTTTGGGGGAGAGGTTGTTTTTTTTTCTTTTTTTTTTGGCCATAGGGTGCGTGCGCTCGCCAGACAGACAGAGAGAGACAAAAAGCGAGAAATCACCCCCCAGGGGGTATGGCCACGCTGCAATCACTTCTCCTCCATTCTCCTCTCAGGATCTTGAGCACGCACGCACACGTGCCTGGCGTGAGTTTTAAGCCACCGGGTCCGGGACACGAACCGCAGTCGATTACATGGGAGTCCAGCGACATAGCCATTACGCTAACTGCTGGTCCCGTGTGATTGTGTTCTTTATTGTTTGTGTAATATATAAAACATAACACTCCAAATATGCTAGAATATAAAATATCTTCAAATATTGGGTTACCAGGAAAGTCATGACACATTTTTCATAGAAAAATAGGTCATTTTTCATAGAAGAATAGATCATGGCTTTCCCATGACCTGATCAATAATAAATACATATGTACAGTGAAGTGGGATCATCACAAATGCACATCTTCTGAATGATCATAAAATGAATGCATCCATGTACCAGATTAAGAAATAGAAAGTTCTAGAACCCTACCCTCTCTCATCTTGCCTTCATTACTGTTTCCCTTCCAAGGAGTAGCATTTATTCATTCTGACTTTTGACACCAGAGAGTGGGTCTGCCTGTTGTAGAACTTTCTAAATGGAGCCACCCAGTATGTGTTCTCCCTTGTTTGGGTTCTTTTGCTCAGCCTTACACTTTCATACGGTTTATATGCTATGGATGGGCATTATTTCCCATCATACTCTATTTGTGAGTGCAACATATCTCAGAGATACGTAATTCTCTGCACAGACGTTTACATATATGTGAGAGAGACAGATTTCTGTGGGTTGACTAGTGTCAATAAAAAACAAACATGGGGCCCGTCCATGGCCTCGTGGTTAAGGTGACGGGATCCTACATGGCCAACCACATAGTTCAAGTCTCAGACCTGGCAGCTTGAAAACCATGCCAGGTGCACACACATGCACGCCCAAAATCCCGAGGGGAGGGAGAAAGGATTGCAGCATGACCATGCCCCGTCGGGGGCATTTCTCTTTCTCTCTCTCCGGCAAGTGCATGTGTCCTTTGGTAAGATTCTAAACATGTTAAATTAAAGCAGAGAGGGGCCAGCAGGTGGCATGGTGATTAAAGTGCTGGACTCCAGTACGGCCGACCATGGTGTAAGTCCCACACCTGGCAGCTTGCTTTCTCACTTTCCCTCTCTCCCTCTCTCTGTCTGGTGAGTGCATGCGCCCTATAGTAAGTTAATAATAATAATGATAAGTAAAATTAAATAAGTAATTCTTAAAAAAATCAGTGAAACGAAAATGGCCAGCTTGGTAGTGCAGTGGTAACGTGCTGCTCAAGGGAGGCTGCATCTGTATGTGAGCTCATGGTTCGGTTCCCTGGTTGGTCTGCACATGCCAGCTACACGTGCCTGTGACCCTTGGCTGACTGGGAGGGCTGGGAGAGGAGGTGGATTGTGGCATGACACCCTGTTGAGGTGACTATGTCCTTCTCTTTCTCTCTCTCTCTCTCATTCTCATGAAAGAAATAAAACTTAGAAGGGGTGAGGAGGCGGCAGTGCGGCCGTGTAATGTGATGCTTCACAAGGCAGCCCCACCCGGGAAGGTTCAGGTTCAAAGCCAGAGACCTTGAGAACCTGGGCACAAGCTTGCCCACATCCAGGCTGGGCTGAGGGCTGGGGTGGATCATGGTGTCAAGACCTCATCTGGGGTGCTGTCTCTCACGGGAGGAAGAAATAAATGAAAGTAAAGAAGAGGGCGAACTGGTGGTCTGAC